TATAGGTTGGTATTGGACATATGGGCTAATATCAGACTTATGGACTTGATCGGGACTGGGTTGGGATGTGGTCTCAATATTCAACTGCTCTTGAATGTAAAGCTCTTTCTTATACGCATATGAGGGTCTTGATAAATTTGTTTCTATAGTCTACCCAGACGAACTAAGCATTGGGGGTGGGGTGAGCCACAAAGGGAACAGATAGTCTGGCTCAGGAGAGAAATTCTGGGAAGTGAAGAAGAGGCAGACGCCAGGCAGGGGACTTCTGGGTTTAGTCAGAACAGCAGTTCTCAGAGTGTCATCTGTGGAACTTGGGAGTCACGGAGATTCTTCCACAAATCCATGAAGTCAAAGGCGTTTCCACAGCATTCATGGAAGTGGTTTGTCTTTCTTAATGTGTGGATGGATGCAGAGGAAAATCAGCTGGGTCTGAGCAGGACCCCAGCTGTGCCATCAGAGTGCAGTACTCAGTGTGTTCTGCACCATCGCTCCCTTGTCGGGAAACAGAACCAAACCAGCTGCATCCACACATGCACTGAAGGAAGCCTGGAACTTTCTTACTGTCATTACATTCTCAAATAGAAGGCTGGCCCCAATCCACTTCTCTTAATAGCATCTCAAATCAAAGAAAATATAAACACTTCTGCATTCTAAAATAGGACATTTATCTCAAGGAAAATAATTTGTATGACCTGAACTAACCACTTTTTAAAAACTGAATATTCTTTTTACTTGAAGGAAAGAATGACAGAGGACCTATCTTGAATATTTGACACTTTCACAAGAATTACCAAATTGTAGGCCAGTGAAAGGAAATCTACTGAGAGCATCATTGCCAATGATAAAATGTAACCTTTTAGAGTATAGAACGTGTATCCAGCAGAAGTGTGAGAGCTTTTCAGAATGTAACACTTTTTCCTGGGGTGGGGTATGGGGCGGTATGCAGTAAAGGCCAGCCCGCCACAATTAATTGTGTGTTCGATAAGCGCAATTGTACTGTTAAAAAATATATATAGAGAGAGAGATTACAATAAAGTCATAGCTAATAAGGAGAGATAGAAGAGAGATTCAAATAATGGAGTCAGACACATTTTATGATAGCATGCTCACCTCAACCCTGCTTGGTGGTCCCTGTGGAGATGGGAGATGCCAGCCCAGGGTAGAGGGGGAGGGGAAGGAGTGCAAGGGGAAAAGGAACAGGAGAGAGGAAGGGGGAGCAAGTGAGAGAGAGAGAACTCTTTATTGCTAACCCAGACTTATATATCTTTGGGGGGCATGCAAGCCCCTTAATCACATGTAAAGGCATACGTCACAGGAAGGTAATACAGTAATGAGAGTGGGACCATGTAGGGGTATACACATAATAGGAAGGGGAGGGATTGGAGGTACACATGTGACAAATGGGCAGATCCTAGATTCAGGGAGGCAGCCTAACTTTGGATGTCACAGAACAGGTTTGACCTTTTCTCTGGCTCTCCATGGAAGCCATAATCAGTAGGGTGTGAACTCACCTACAGTGGACCAGATGCCTTCAAGGAAAATATCTCTAAGCATCTGACCTCCCACCATGTGCTGGCAAACAGCTTCTAATGTTTGGCATATCTTTGGGGGAGAAAAAGCTGGGGAAAAGTTTCTTTATGATTCCACAGGGAGGGGGCTGGGATCAGTGGTGATACTAACAAATGTGACTTTTTTATGTGATATTTCCTAATGGAATGTGCCAACACTGGAAGATTTGTGTTCTCAATAGACTCATGCAGCACTTCAGAGAAACCTCATGCATTACTACAAGAGTCATGCGGTGTGCAAGATGGATCTATGGGTTTAGTGAACAGACTATGAAAAGTTCCACAAGAGTTTTCCAACCGCAACTCACCATGAAGAAACTACCCCTTCCTTAGCAGTAGTGCACTAGGAAGGAGGGGCTTTCTCAGTTACTTGGAGAGCCTATTGAAAGACTCCCTTCTCCAACGTTGCATCTGTGAGATGCTGGATGTTCTGTATGCACCACTCGCAGGAGGACAGATCGGGTGCAGAAGCAGACAAGAAAATCCAGAAGTCTCCTACTGACACAGCTATAAAGTGATTCGCTCTGTTGTTTTATTTTGAAACACATTTCTTTTTGTATCTGTTACCGTTTAATGGGTTGTCGGTAGTACTTTACACTCGTTTTACAATGTTAACTGTTTCCATTTCCCATGGGCTTACTCTCCGTAGACAGAACGCACGGAAGGAAACTCTCCTTGGGTCCTTCACGGTGTGTGACTGTGAACAGAACCTCTAAGGCGCCCTGTGGAAGAATCATTAAGCTCCTATCAGGGAATCCAAGCGGCTCAGCGGGAGAAAAGACTGGCGATCTGCTTCTTGAAGTGTTAACATCTAGGAAAGAAATCCAGAGAACAGTTGTCCATCCTGTAGGGTAGCTTTGAATGCACCCCAGACAATAGAAATTCTGAGTCAGAAAGCGTCTGTCTGCAGCAGGCCCGGCCCAGGGCTCAAGGAGACAGTGCAGAAAGAAGGCTCCTGCAGGAGGAGACCCCTCTCAGAGTTCCAGGGCGCCCACTGGGCTCTCAGGCCCGGATTGGGGGTGCCAGGGGGCGGGGAGACCAGCGCTGGGGATTCCCCTTCTCTGGAGTTTCACTTCTCCCTCACACAGCCTGTGTCAGCTCCTTCTGCCCGGATACCCGTGACGCGGGGCCGCTTCTCGCCCTTATTGGGTCTCCTGTTCCTGGAGAAGCCAATTACTGTCAAAGCGGCTCCGGGTTGTAAGACCCGCCAGGTGCAGATTCTCTAAGGGACCCACGTTTCCCGGAGTCATGGCGCCCCGGATCCTCCTCCTGCTGCTCCTGGGGCTGCTGCTTCTGACCCAGACCCGGGCGGGTGAGTGCGGGGTCGGGGGCGCAGGGACCTTCGGGGGACGCGGGGCGGACGTGGGGCGGGGACTCAGCAGCTCTGGTCCCCCCCAGGCTCCCACTCGCTGAGATATTTCCACACCTCCGTGTCCCGGCCGGGCGGCGGGGACCCCCGCTTCATCGTCGTCGGCTACGTGGACGACACGCAGTTCGTGCGCTTCGACAGCGACGCCCCGGAACCCAGGATGGAGCCGCGCGCGCCGTGGATGGAGCAGGAGGGGCCCGAGTACTGGGAGCGCGAGACCGCGAACTGCAGGAGCAAAGCACAGACCCACCGAGTGAACCTGCGGACCCTGCGCGGCTACTACAACCAGAGCGAGGCCGGTGGGGGACCCCGGCCCGGGGCACAGGGCTCCAGCCCCCGGTGCCCACGCGCGGTCACACTCTCACCACCACCCACCCCTCCGGGACCCCCCTGCCCTTAGCCCTTTCAGCCTCGGGATACGCCAGGTTTCGTTTTCCATTTCGCTGACCGGGCTCTGGGGGCGGTTCAGGGTCTCACACCATCCAGAGGATGTCCGGCTGCGACCTGGGCCCCGACGGGAGCCTGCTCCGCGGGTACGAACAGCAAGCCTACGATGGCGCAGACTACCTCGCCCTGAACGAGGACCTGCGCTCCTGGACGGCGGCGGACACGGCCGCGCTCATCACTAAGCGCAAGTGGGAGGCGGCCGGGGAGGCGGAGCGCTTCAGGGCCTACATGGAGGGCTTGTGTGTGGATTACCTCCTCAGATACCTGGAGAACGGGAAGGGAACCCTGCAGCGAGCAGGTACCAGGGGCCCCTGGACGCCTCCCCAACTCCCTGGGACCCGGGTCTGTGTGTCCGCCCTGCTGGCCTCTCAGGGGGGAGGGAAATGGGGCAGACGTCAGCAGACCCCTGCTGGGTGTGGAGAGGGAGGGGTTCCCCTGCAACCCCAGGTCCTGTAGGACAGTGACTTGCCCAGAGCAGCCCTCCTCTCCCAGAGACAGTGAGGAACCCGGTCTCCCTGGGAGAGGAGGGGACATGATTCCAGACTGATCAGCAGTTCCCTTTGACTAGGGAATTGACCTTGGGACCCACAGGGGTCTTGCTCTCTCATATCTTGTTCTAAGTCCCACACCCAATGGGTTTACAGATCTGATTCAGTTTATTTCAGTTTCTGAGTCTCCACCCAAGTCCGAACTAGAAGTCCCTGTTTTCTCCCTCAGACCGCTGTACTCCACTCCTGTGGGCTGCCTCAGCCTGATTCTAGAACTTTCCCATAACCAGGAGATTAAGGAGCATCTGGGCTCCAGGCTGGTGTCTGGGTGTTGGCCTTCCTCTCCAACCCCAACTGCCCAGTCCATCCTCAGGGTAATCACAGGAGCCCTGCTGACATGACCCCAGGGAGGTCACCCAGAGTTCCTCATCTCTCTGACCCTCCCCCAGAGCCTCCGAAGACCCAGGTGACCCACCACCACGAACGCCATGTCCCTGAGGGAGAGGTCACACTGAGGTGCTGGGCCCGGGGCTTCTACCCGGCGGACATCGTCCTGACCTGGCAGCGGGACGGCGAGGACCAGACCCAGGACATGGAGCTGGTGGAGACGAGGCCTGCGGGGGACGGGACCTTCCAGAAGTGGGCGGCTGTGGTGGTGCCCTCCGGGGAGGAGCAGAGATACACGTGCCGAGTGCAGCACGAGGGGCTGCCTGAGCCCCTCACCCTGAGATGGGGTGAGGAAGGGCACGGGGGTGGGTCCTCTTCTCAAGGAAAGCCGGGGGTCCCTTTGAGCACCAACAGAGACAGGGACCCTCACTGCACATTCTCTTTCCAGAACTGCCTTCCCAGCGCACCATGCCCATTGTGGGAATAGTTGTTGGCCTGGTTCTTCTCGCAGCTGTGGTCATTGGAGCTGTGGTTGGATTTGTGATCTGGAGGAAGAAGTGCTCAGGTAGACGTGTGTGTGTGTGTGTGTGTGTGTGTGTGTGTGTGTGTGTGTGTGTGTCCCAGTTTCTTGTCCCACTGGAGGGTTCACGTCCCAGGTAGGAGGTTGGCAGTCTTCTGCCTCATTAAGGAAGCAGCATCCATATGTGCTGCCTCCGTGTGGCGCCCTATGTGCTACAATTACTCTCCTGTGTGTACATGCACATCCCTATGTGTGCGTGTGAAGAGGAAGCACCTTTATGGTTCCAGTGATGGATACCCGATTCCCAGTAGTCACATATCCCAGGGAAATGTTCCTGCTATGGACAGTCTTCCAGCAGGGTGGAAGGCAGTCCAGTCTCTGCACATCCATCCCTCTCCTGTCCTGCTCTGAAATTCAGGAAGCCTAACTGGAGCCCAGCACTAACTAGGTCTTGTAGGACCTCAAGATCCAGTCTCCTCCCCAGTCCCTCACGGAATGCTTTCTTCCCACAGGTGGGAAATATAGACCTTTCAAGCTGCAAGTGAGTATGGATGGAGAGGGGCTGAGATGAGACCCTTGGGAGAGTGTAGATGGAGCCCAAGGAAGAAAGCCCTCACTCATAATTCTTGTTCTCCATGTCTCATCTCCTGTGTGCTCCCCACATCCTATTTCTGTCTTCTCCAGGCCATGACAGTAGCCAGGGCTCAGATGTGTCTCTCATAGCTTCCAAAGGTGAGAGCCTGCGGCCCTGACACAGAATAGGGGTGGGACAGAGGGGACCAGACTGTGCTAGAGGAATTCTTGGATTGGGACATTCGGGGAGTGCAGTGGACTCCTCAAAGTGACTGACCTGGATTTGTCTGTGGTTCTTTCTCTGCAGCCTGAGTCCTTCCTGTGTGCGGCAGAGCGACAAGGAGTGTTCACAGCCTGCTCTGTGACTGAAGAACCTTGGACTTGTCTCTCTGCAACCGGGGTCTGAAGGTGTCTGCCCTCCTGTTAGCATGACGTGAAGATGTGGGGGGACAAACCTGTCCCACCAGGATCCCCAAGCCCCCACTGACCTGTGTCCCTTCCCTGATCAGTATTCCCCATCTCTGCTAGAACATCTCCTTCCCCATGTAACTTCCCTCCCTCTCAACTGCTTAATCTCACTTCTCTATTGAAGAATAGGACCTGATCATGAATTTGCTTACTAATATTTGTCATCAGAGGTGTTTATGGGTTAATTAAATTGGGAAAATGCGGAGCAGAGCCGAGCCGGGGCCCGCCGCCCCTCTCCTCCATGAGGCCC